TGGGGGGGCTTCTCTAGAACAGATTTCTTCTGCACTTCTCGATCTGTGAATAAGGTTAGAAATGTGAGTCGCCCTGACCTGTGTATTCTCCTTCCAGAACGATCTGCGGCACCCCCAATTACCTGGCGCCCGAAGTCCTCTACAGACAGGGTCACGGCCCGGAGTCGGATATCTGGTCGCTGGGATGCGTCATGTGAGTTTTACCCCCGAAAAGACAAAATAACGTAATTTGTAGCTGTGGCGGGCGTGGAAAGTTTGACATGCGACGCTCGCGGCTTTGGTGGAATATGCGCTGTTTGTTTTTTCCTCTCGGGGGTCGCACAGGAAACCTGCGGCCCGCGTCTGCATGTGCAGGGTGAGCTCTGCTTCCTCCTGGCGGGGAGGTGACTGTGTGCGCTTTGAGTGTTCACATTGCTCGGCTGTCGCATCCTCTGCAAATGTCATAATGTGACAACGGAAACCCTTCGTCCTCCTCGGAGATCGGACCTCAGCGGATTCCATGAGAATCTCCGGGGGGCCCCATCGCCTATTTATACCGCAGCAGCCCGGAATATTCCTTCCATTGTCAGCTGTCACATGACCTTTATAGAGCGAGGGGGGAAAATGTCCGGAGGGTCTTCAGAGTCATCCGTGAAGGAGCTGGAAATATAATCATTAACGTAACTTTAATTTGACTTTTAAATGTATGTCATTTTGGATGTACCGGTGACCATGTAGTTTGAGGGCCTGTCTGGGTGCAGATTGAATGGGTAGTTGAGGTTGACCCTCCATGTTGGTTCTGGTAAATCCAGAGGAGATTGGATCATAGGGGGGCTGTATATAAATATTTGGGGTCTCGGTGCTGAAATGTCGCGTTTTTTCCGTCTTCTCCGCAGGAAATTTCTTCATCAATGATCACATGGAGCTGAAAGTGGGCGATTTTGGGTTGGCGGCGAGACTGGAGCCCCCCGAGCAGAGGAAGAAGTGAGTCTGGTCTTGTGATGTCCTCTCCTCTGTACAGCCGTTTGTATCTTAGCCTGACCTCTCCCTGAATTCTGTGATCACACCTAAATCGTCCTCTGCTGTAGTATTTCACACTTGGATGTGTTCATTGGGGGAGGGCCTGAAGCACATAAGCTCTGTATGCTTGCTGCTCTGGGGGTGCGGGTTCTCTG